TCCACTTTAGCTCTGTGTGAGTTGTTGAGGCAGCGTCTCTCCAGTTTAACTTCTGTGTTAGTGTATGTTGCAAACCTCGTCACACGTTGAAGAGAGGGAGATGGGAGGGACGAGAAAAGGCAGTCCCTAGAAAGCTGGTCACATAAAGCTTCAACTGTGTTTAAATTTTTGCCATGTTGTGCGAGTAGGAATTATTTACTGTTTGCACCATCTGCTAACTAATCTTGGTTACCTGTTATTACTGATTATAATGCCTTTCAAATTCTCTACTCTTGCAAGCAAGGATTAGTGGTCCCTTTCGCGTTAAGTTTCATGGTGACGCTAAATCTCGTCATGAAAGAACGTCTGTAAACAAGTTCGGGTCCTCGATGACTATTCTCGATAAAACAGCGCTCTAAGCTGCGACCAGTTTGGTCGCCATGGCGAGTAAACGAGATATTTGGCGACTAAAATTCTGGCGAAAGTTGCCAATTGGCGACTAAAAGATTTAAAGAGAAACTTACTTGAAAAATTATCAACAATTGGACGAATTTAATCAATAGTACATGCGGTGGCATCACCTGCGTTTCTCTTTTCGCCTCTCGTCGTTCAGAAACTCGACTGCGTAAAAAAAATGGCAAATTCGATCGATTTGAAGGGGCAATTGGCAATGTTGCACGGTCTCAGCAGCTTTGTAATATTGAAATAAATCGTTTTTGCTACTAGACAGCCTCTTCCCTTTCTTTCTCTTACAGTAGCAAGCCTAAGTGATAAAACGTGCCGTTCGGCGCATTAGCTCATCGTGTAATGTATCATGAAGTGTCCTCCCGTTCTGTTTTTTTTTTTTTTTTTTTTGAGGCGAGGGGGGAAGGGGGGACGACTAAATTTTTTTTATGGCGACCATTTTACAATTGAAGGTCGCTAAACGGCGAATTTTTGAAAAATCGAGCTTAGAGCGCTGTAAAAAAGGCGTTTAGTAGCGGGTCTCGACACTAACGGTAGCCAACTAGCCACAGACCAGTAGAAATTCAGTTTTGGTTAGTGTTTCTCGATTTCCATTAGCCAGGTTGGCTGATAAACAAACTGAAATTGTTTTAACATCTAAGTTGTGACTATTCATTTGGCTAGTAAGTTGAAAAGTTACTATCGAGCCCTGTAACAGGGTTCTTGAAGGTCATTTAAGAGCGAGAAAGTCATGAAATTTATAATTTTCATTCTGGATTTAAAAAGTCAGGACTTTGTGGTTGAGTCGCGAAAAGTGATGAACAGTGAGCAAACGGCATTCAGAGGAAGGCATATTTTAGCGATGCAATCAATACATTAGAGAGATTTAGCACCTCGTTTACGGGAAACGTGAACGGCAATAGTGCCCTCGTGACCTTATTTTCCCACCATTTTTTCACGTTTGCTGGTCGCGCTTTGCCGTTTCCACGTGAAAGTAATCTGTTTCGCTTCTTGTATTTACTTTTTACCTAATTTTCACAAACCTAACAACCCAGGTCAGCCCATTGTCTCGGCTTGCAGTTGCTTTACCGAACTTATTTCCGGCTATTCGGACAAAATTATGGCTCCTATCGTCAGAACTTTACCGTCGTTTATCAAAAACAGCCAACACGCTCTTCAAATTTTTCGAAACTTTAATTTCCTTGGCCAAGACAAACTTCTTTTCATTATGGACATTACATCTCTTTTTAATGTCATCCCTAATGGCGAAGGTCTTCTGGCACTCAAACATTTTTTTAATCAACGTACTGTTAAGGAACCTAAATCTGAAACACTACTTCGCTTAGCTGAACTAGTGCTCACCCTCAATTGTTTTTCATTCGGGGACAAATTTTTCAAACAAGCCAATGGCGTAGCCATGGTTACCAAAATGGGACCCAGCTATGCCAATCTTTTTGTAGTTTTTGTCGAACACCAATTTTTCAGCCAATACAACGGCCCCAAACCTGAACTCTAAGGTCGCTACATTGACGACTGTATCGGCGCTACCTCCTCTATCAGAAAGGATCTAACACCATTCATAACCGCGGTCAATTCCTTTCACCCGGATCTAAACTGAATATACTTGGGAAATTTCCGACAATTCTGTATCCTTTTTAGACATCAAAGTTTCAATTGAAGGCAACGGTTTATGCATTTGTGTGTATTACAAACCAACAGACTCACATAGTTACTTGTTGTATTCATCTTCGCATCCATCTCATGTCAAGTATTCCATTTCCTTTTTCTCAGTTTCTAAGACTTCGTGGTTCATGTAGTGATGATTCTGATTTTTTCCACAAATCAGAGGCAATGTGCCAGTTTTTCGAAAAGCGTGATTACCCTGTTTCTGTCGTTCAAGCGGGTTACCACCGCACCCAACTTATTGATCGACAGCCAGCAATACAAACGTCACAGAAGGAAAATTCCGACCGCATCCCATTCACTCTCACATTTCACCCTCACAACCACTCAGTTAAATCCATTTTTCTTAAAAGCTTTAAATTCCTTCAAAACGATCCAGAGGCTGGTACTATCTTTTCGCAACCTCCACTCATTTCATTCGAATGCAACAAAAACATAGGCAATTTTTTGGTCAGAAGTTCATTTCGAACTAATGACCAACCCGGCACCTTTAAATGCGTTCGCGCGCGATACAAAACTTGTCCTTCCATTCACAACGCTGAGAAAATATCAGGACCCAAACGATCCATTAAAGTCACTGATCACTTCACGTGCACCTCCGCCAATGTAATCTATTGCATAACTTGCACTTATTGCAAAAAGATATACATCGGCGAAACAGGAAGACGATTAGATGAGGTGACCGATTCCGAGAACAGCTTCGCGACGTAGAAAGGAGTGACAAGGACGCATCAAAACCAGCCGCTAGACACTTTAATCTACCTGATCATTCTAAGCAGCATATGGCAATCTGCGGTCTTTCCTTATATTTAGGTAGCTCGGAAAGCCGCAAAACCCTTGAACAAAAGTATATCTTTGAAATCGGCAGAGAAAAAGTTAATGACCATTGAAAAGGTCACCAAAACCATTCCTTGTAGGTCATACAAGGGGGCCTTTAAATACGCCATGACGTGAGTTCACGCGAAGCTGAATCAGCAAAGTTCACGCTATTATACGTCAGGGGTGAAAGGGCAAGCTGACGTTTGCCGCTTCACGTAAACGCGGTGCTAAATCTCTCTATTGTGAGAATGAACAATCTTAGCTAAGTCTGAAAACATTTGGCGGAGACATCATAAAGACGTTCGAGGAAAAAGGCGAGGAATGTAATAAATAAGATAGAAGCAAATGAAACCTGAATAAGTGGAATTTACCTAATTCTGTTTTTTTTTCTTTTATCAGGAGAAGTGATGAAGACTTAAGTGACAAATCTGATGCAGAGAAAAGCGAGAAAAGCGAGAAAAGCGACAAGGAAGACAATGTGGACGAGGAAAAGAAAGGGGAAAGTAGCGAAGCAGAGAAACCTTCTTCTGGCAAGAAACGAATACTGTCAAGTGACGAGGATGATGATGATCTTGATGATGATCTTGATGATTATATTGATGACAACGACGACAGAGCTGATGGCGAAGAAGGACCATCCACAGGTCAAGAGACACCCAAGAAGAAAAGCAGGAAACTACTTAGCTCGTGAGTTAATCGGTTGATTTTTTTAAGATAGAGAAAGATGCTAAATTTATTTGTCAAAGCAAGGTTTTTTCCGCATTCTAGTCGGGTGTTTTATCGCAGAGCTACAAGGAATTATTGATAAGCTAAGTGATATATTTCAATCGGTGGCAAACCTCCTGAGGACACCGAATGAAACAATGTTCCGCAACCAAGTAACTCCATTTGTGAGGTTCTTATTGAAATTTCCCCACTGAACCTCTCAACGACAGAGCTGAATAACTTTTACGCATGCGCTAGGTTTTGCCGCGGAAACACGGATTTTGAGTCGTTCGCATGGTTGATTTCCTATTCTGCGGCTCCGAGGCGTCGTTTTCCTTGCCGCTCAATTTTCTTTTACAGAACAACCTCCAAATACTTGTTACACCCCCTAAAAATTTTCAAAAGTTAATTTTCTCCTTAAAACCTCTGGAAATAGGAAAATGCTTTCGACGAAAACAGAGTTCCTTGGTTTTAAAAGTCAGCCCTTATTATTTTCCACTAATTTCACTAAATTTTAGGCCTAGGACACTCGAGCCCGCGTTTTTGACCGCATGCCCTCTGACGTAGCATTTCATTGTTCAGCTCTGTCCCTCTCAACTTCAATCAGTGCAGAAGTTAAGTCATAAGGCCGCTTGAGTCAAACTCGTTTGTGGGGGGGAGAATGCAGTGGGTGATGATGAGCCTATTTTGCTTCTGAGATCCTCCCACAAGGATGTATCCCAAACATTTCTTGTCAGAGTTTGAGATAACGCTGTATTAACATTGCATTTCTTTGCATCTCCACAGATCTGAATCCGATGATGATGAATAAGCCAACAACACACCATAAAGCTATTTTCCAACGCAGCGTTAGTTTCTGGGTGACGTGGAATTAAAGGAGATACACAGAATTATACAACAGGAAGCAGTTTTTTGCCTTGCTATAATAATTTTTCATATTATCTCCTGTAAAAGTTCAGCCCAATGAGCGTCCGTGAAAACGATGGGTTCATTGATAGTTAATTTTTCCTTTTTAGGAGCTATAGCGCGGTTTACACATTCATCCATATTTTCAGAACATTCTGTAATTTACAATACACGACTTTCTCATTGACTGCTGTTTTTATCTAATAATTGTATTCCCGTTCCTTGGTCCCTCTCTGATGTTTAAGAACTTCCTGATAGAATGTGTACATATTTCTGTAGAGGAAGCCGTTAATAAACGTAATTTTTCTCTTGTACATATGCCAGTTTATTTTTTACCCCAGCAAAACAACTTTTTTTAACTAGAAGATGATAAGGAAACAAAGAAAGTGATGCATCAACAGCTCTAAAGCTTATGCACCAATATGTTCCAAATACTGAGGCAAATGCCACAAAAGTACGCTTCAGAACCATAAAACTTTTACTTCTAACATAAACTATGTATTTACAAATAGATTCCTTGTTGCCATGCAACTACCCAAGTTTACAATAATAGATCAAATTAAGCACTGATCTATTTGAAGTTGGGATATCTCTTCCCCTTCAGGCATTTGACTTTCGTCTGTTCACAGAGGTTGGGAGATTTGAATCTTGCCTGGGTGGGGTGGGGAATCTCATCTAGACTTCCTAAGTCTTTTGAGTGGGTTACAAGTGTTTTATCTTTGAAAATGGAGGTGTTTAAGGGCAAAGTGTTCACTTTTGTGAGCAGATGGCTCAGAAGAAAAGGTCTATAAGAAAGTCAAGGTCACCAATCTTGTCTTTTGCAAAAAGATTGACTATGAAATCCAGCACTTAGACAGGGTATTTGAGCACAATTTTGGCACCAGGGCAGGAATTTGAATCTTCAAAAGTTCAAGTGCCCAAGGGGGGGGTGCCTGGGGGGATGTTGAAGCTTTGAATTGACACATTACAGGTTCCATAGTTACATTAATTATGGAATCAAGTAAATTAAAAGAGCACTTATAAGCCAGGAATCAAATCTATTTCAGATCTTAAATAATTTCCCTTTTTATTTAAAGCAATACTTTGCACAATTTACAATGAGCTTAGCACCCTAAAATAGGAATGTCTTGTCCATTGCATTCTTTTCAATTCTTAAGAGTAATTATATATTATATGTAAATTTTCACTGAGTAGTTCACCTTGCTTCTGCCAGGAGATATATATTTCACTTGTATATTAGATTTACAGGAAACTTATATTAATATCTTTAAAGCAGTAGAATACAAATAGAAATTAGTTTTGTTTCAATTAACATCCATTTTTTTAGCAAAAAGTTCATCACTAGCAATAGCACTTTTGCATTGCATATGTGTTAAATATTAAATAAAGTGAAAGTAATATCAAATTCAAGTCCACAACATTTACTGCAAATTACATCATTATATCTTGTAAAACAAACTGCTTACCGTAGAAAAAATACCGAAAACGACAAATATACAAATATGTTTATGGTTCACTGGATTATCATCAAAATAATCAAAAAAGACTTTTCCTCAAAATACCACTTCTCTCGCTTTTGAGTAGAAGAAGGTCAATTTCAGTGATCTACACTGGCCTAAAAGAAGCACATTTTGGCCTTAAATGTTGAAACCTCTTCATAGTGAATGAACGTGGGAAAAATAAATTGACACAAAGTCGAATTGCTACCTTGTTCCATCCATTTTGAAATTATGGTTTAATTGACAAGCTCAAATGCAGGATCTTGCAATTGTTGGTTATGATGTCAAATTTGTCCATTTCTGGCTTTACCTTAAAATACAAACTTTGCCACTGAATCTCTTTTATGTCTTTCCTTCTTTCTCTGTTTGATTGATTCCTTACACCACCTTTGAATTCTAATTAATTGTGGTGCACCATTCTTACTGGCGAGAACAAATGGAGACTGAAATTGCTCATGCGAGAGCCGGTTGGATGACAAGGATCACCACTCATTTCAAAATTGATGTAATTAAATGTACAATAATAGAAAATTATATTCCATGATTTTGTAATTTTATTAAGTTTATAAATACCACTGTTCCCTGTATTTAAAACTCTTAGAAAAAATAAATTATCATCCCCCCTAAACAAAAAAACAGCAAAGCTGGTCTAACATGTTCTAATTGTCTCATCTAATAGGCTCATAGTTTCATGGTTCTCAAAAAGTCTAACCAAAAAGACTGTCTTTTCTGTGTCAATAGAAATCTTTGATGAAAATACATCAAGATGAAAACCCCTCTTTGAGGAAAAAGAAGATATATTTTTATAACCACTGGTATTTTAAATAAGCAGAAGAAAACAAAGAATAACTGACATTTCTGCAATGGAACTACTCAAAATTTTTACAGCTTTTCATTCTAAGGTTGTACTCCTCCTCAAGGTTGAAAGCTGACACAGCAATGCCCATTTGACCCGCATAATAAGTTGTCATGATCAAAGCTCTTGCCCAAGGGACAGGAAAACAAAACTTGTTGATGGCAATGATATTGTCTGAGAGGTAAAACAAAGCAGCCCCAAAGCATGCGCTCATCTTTGTCCAGCGACACAATCCATTCTCTTCAATTTGGTTTTGGACACCAGTTATAGCCCGCCACATCATACCAGTGACCACGAAACCATATATCAGGACAGGAATAACCAGCTTTCCATCAAGTCCAGGGTACAGTATGTAGTATACTAACAAACCTGGCAAGACACAGAGTAATCCTACAAGGGGGTTTCTTGGTTGGAACCCAAAGGCTCGAATATACAAAATGTGAGCAATACCAAATGCAGCCATGCCATGAATGAAGTATGCGTTTTTCCACACAAGAAAAACATCACCAATGGCTGAGAAGATGAGACCCAAGAGGATTCTCCTGCTGTAGTTGTGTTCCCTCTCAAGACTGATTCCTTGCAGGCTGACAAATATACAAAGACTCAGGATTGGAAGAATTTTCAGGAGAGCAGCAAAAACTGTTGGTTTCTCTGTCTCTGGAACCCATGCCACAAAGTAAACACAGACCGTTTTTAGGAATGGAACAAGTTTGGGACCAACACTTTTAACCTACAAAAAGACAAATTTCACACTGAGTTTTATGAGGGATAAGGTCCTTTGATTAAATAGCCAAAATCAATTGAATTTGTACACATAGATCAAATGTTAGCATCATAAATTTCAAAGACTACAAGAATCTTTCTCACTTGCATAATAGGAAGAGCATAATCCCCCTCAATTCACAACACTGGCTCACCCTCCTTGCCACAATTTCAAAACTCCTCCAACAAACATAGTATTAAAAAAAAAGTTTATGTTCACTGGCATAGATATATTTTGGGCCCAATTCAGAGTCATTTTACCCGAAGCCACTAGCAAGGGTTAAAATGACTCTGAGAATGGCCCAAGACAATAAACTGCATTACTATGATTATCACTCGAAGGCACTGAGAAAGTAAAAATAAAATGATGTAATTTAGCCTGCCAAAATCTTCATTTTAGCCCGCAAAATGCACCACAGTGCCTGGCAAAGTGATAACAATACTTTGTTCCCTAACACCTGGTTGAATCCAATATCAGGCATTCAAATTCAACATACAAGTTTTCTCCAGTAAGACATTCATTCTGAAACCTCAATATACTGAAAAACCT